TGTGTATGTGTGTGTGTGTGTATGTGTGTGTGTATGTGTTAAGGAAAATAAAATTTGGTCTTTCTTCATTTGTTTTAAAAATTTTCTACTAATTTAAATGAATTAAATTAAATGAATTAATTTCAAACTTTCCGCTTCTGCAATATTTTCACCCTCTTCCATATCCTTTAATAATCGATGTTATAAACAATTGTACTGAATAATACACATTAAACTATTACAAATTTATTCAGCACTGCAATTTGCAATAAATACTTTAAAATTTTGAATGAAATGACTAAAAATTTTAATCTTTCATCTTTCCTCTCAAACCGTGTTAGGAACTGTGCAATCAATTTATTTTTATTTTTTTTTCTGTTAGAACGTATTTTATCAAATGGCACAATTAGTCATCAATAACTTAGCTGAAGTAAATTTAATGATCAATTCTCTGATGTTGCAAATATTTCTGAATTCAATTTCACAAGTAGTTTATTTATTGAAATGAAATGATGAAGGAAAGGTATATTAAATCACAGGTGTGAGTTTAAAATTTCCTCCATGTTTTTTAGTTGATCAATCATTGGTGAATGTTATTGCAATAGGAATTCACTAAATGATAAAAAAGAAGAGGTAGAAAAGACAGACTGATTGATTGGATAATACGTCTGATCTGATATGACATAACATATTAATTAATTATCATCCATCCTTCTAATTATTACGGATCATTCATTACTCCAATCAATATGATTGCTTTTATCAATAGCATGGAGCTACTATGATAAGACAATAAATGCGTTTTCGTTATTAACACAATGAACAAATATTAAAAAAGATTAATTGGAATTGGCGCAAATTTTCATTATATGAAAGATTGTTAAATTAAATTGAAAGTAATCATTGGAAATTCCAGCGGTATTGTCATCTTAAAACAATATGACATAAAATCGGTTATATTGTCACATCATTTCATATGGTGTGCTAATGAAGATTCTATCAATTATTCCTTCAATCTTAAATGATCAAAAATTATGGATGTTGAAACCTGACGACTTACTTAGTTCGAGATATAAGTAAATATTGATTATTCCGTCTGATAAGTAATGTATGAGCAAAGAAACACAAATATGAAACGCTTATAAAATGCTAATATTTCGTAGCTGGTGTTGAAGTGAAAAGTGCTGGCACTAATTATGCCAACGATCATTTAAACTATAAAATAAATGAAAAAGAAATGTACACATTTTTTTTAATGTTAGCAAATTAACAACATTGAAAAGTTTCATTTTGTTTGTTCGTATTTTTTCAAATTCATTCCGTATTTCAGTTCAATGAATTTTAATTGAATAGTTTTTCTATAACAATTCACACACATATATATATATAATTAATGAGTAATAAATGACATATCTTATTTGTTGGGCTGATGTTACGAAATAATGACGGAAGCCCAGCAAAATCAGTTTGATTGTTTCTAGCAAAATAGATTTAAAAGAGATAATTGATGGAAAATAGCATATAGCTAATGATCCTCGGCGTAATTATTTGCTTAGTTTAGTTGTTGTAATTACATTTGCTTTAAAATTGTTTGATATTTTCAATTATTCGTGCTATTTAAGTGATAAATATGTAATAGTATTAAATTATTTCTAATAAACATGATTGATTTTTAACCTCTATTTACAATTAAATTCATAGCATAGGTTCATATATTTGAAGCTTATATAACTTAATTAATTGTTGAGGTACATCCTGATAACGCAAAATATTACATTTAATCTTCCAAACATTCTTCTCTAATGACTTTTTCGTTTTCTATTATGCAAATAAGTATATTGCAAATTAGGCTTATGAAACTTACATGCTTTCGTGACTTATAAAATTAATTGCATAGAATTCAAAAATTTTGAATTATTTTTTTTTTCAGAAATTTCATAGAGTTAAATTTTGTTGATCTCTTTCTAATTCAAAGTAATCGTCGTTTAATTGATTTTATAACAAAACATTTCATGTTATGGTTTTTCTACGGACAAAGTTAAATTTACGGAGGCAAAATTATACGATCCTTTTCATATATAAAATTTCATTTGAAATTTTAACTCATAAATTTTCTTCTTGCTGATAAAATTTTTGAAATCTTAAACTACCGAGAAGATCTTCTTTAAAGATTTGATTAGCTGACAAAAAAAAGAGAAATTACGAAAGTGTAATAGGTGGGAAAAGAAATAATTCCTTTCTTACGACGTTATACTTTTCAAATTTCGAAATGATTTTTTCGTAACAAATTGATTTCGCTTTACGAAACAGTTAATCTTTGTTCAATTTCAAAACAAAAAAAAATTTTATTTCATTCAAAAGTATTTCACGTCAACATTATATTTTATTTTTTCACATAAAATTTATAATTTGCTACTTCATTGTAATTCTATCCATCAAGTAATGAGTAAATAAATGACGCATTTTGTGTGATAGAACAGCTGTTTTCCAACAATATTTCAATAAATTTTTTCACTAATAAACTTTTCAATTTTAAATAACACATTTCAATTCATTTTGACAGCCTTCTCAGATCACTACGGTGAGGTGGTGTTAAAGTGGAAAATGATACGCGTTTTATCAATTCAGATATGATATATGAATAATTAATTCTTCCAGAACAACGTGAATGTAATTTATCAGGAGAAAGAACGAATCATTTTTATATCATACGCATATGGATAATCTATATTAGTTTCGAGATCTTTCAATTGTTATCACAATCGATAACGTTCTATATGTGATGATATTATTATACATCACGTGAAAAAACAAACGCTATAAACGTGCAAATAACGTTTACCAACAGGTAGTGCACACCTAATAAATTCTTTTTAATATCAAAAAACATTTTTTTTTATAAAATTATTTACAAATAAAAATCCTTAAAATTTCTTTCAAATTTAGAAATTTTTTTAATTCACTGGCTTTGTGATGATTTTTTTCCGGAATTCGTAATGATATTATTAATTTTATTCGCAATTTATGTTCATATAGTTGTTAATTTCGAGTAATAAATATTATTTAAGTTATTCCATTTCTGTTTTGCATTTGCATTTCTTTTCCTTAACACATTTCAGGTAATCTCAACACAGTATTGTTATATCAAATTTCATCTCTATAAAATGGCAGTATTACAAAAATCCCAAACTTTTTCCGAAACATCAAATGATATAATTGAAGATTTGCAAATATCACTTCACGATTTTGTTGTGCCAGTTAAACATTATCCACAAATGTAAACAATTATCTTAATTGTTTATTTTTTTCAGTTTCTTTTAATTTTAATTCATACAGTCATTTTTTTTACAAAACCAATTCCTATCATTATTACAATTTTCAATTTTTTTAAAGGGATATTTGAAATTATCTTACCTGTTTATTACTTTTTAATTTGTTTTAATTTTAATTCATATGGTCATTTTTTTCACAAAATCAATTCCTATCATTACTGCAATTTTCAATTTTTTAAAGGGATATTGAAAATGATAAGAATGATTGTGAGACATTTGTTTGGGATTGGCCATTTAGTGAGGATTGCACGGCAAAGGGATTTCTTTCCGATCAAAAATTCTTCGTTTGTTTACCATTTAATCAAGGTGGCACGGGGGAATCCAGGGGAACGGTATGTTTATCGTTTTTGTCGCAAAATTTTCGAAATAAAACAAAGTTTGATAATTTTTAGGACCAGATGAATTTTTCAGAAATATAATTAAATGCAAATGATAATTAAGTGCTACAATAATCGGCCTCATTTTAAATTATATCCTTTTCAAATTAATTATATTTTAGAACGATTTGTATTTTGATCTTCTAAGATATGAACTTTTATGTTATTTTGTTCTTCTTTTTGCTAGTAAAAAGAAAAAAATGAGAATAAACTAAGATTTGACAAATTTCTCTCATTATTTCTTTAAAAAAAATTTCAACATTTTCAGTTGAAAAAGTTTGAAAAGATCACCGACTCGAACTTTAGCTGCATCATTGGACTTTGCAACAATAGTTTTTTTAAAACTTGCTTTTGGCGACTTGAAATTGAAGTTTTAAGAAATCTCAATATGCTTGTACTCAATGCTTCAAGGTGATTTAGATTTCTCGGATCTTCTAAAAATTATTCACTAAAAGAAAGTCAACTGTTAAAAATTAATGAACATTTAAAATTTTTCATAATTTTAGAGGAAAAAATTCCAATTTAAGCTTTTATTGAAAAATTATAAATCCCTTTCCATTCGAAATAATTTGAAATAAACAGTTGATGAAAAGGGTTGAAATAAGCATGAATTCAAATGGGACTTCAAATAGTTTTGAATATTCTAATAAACATTAAATGTATGTGTACATTTTAGGGATATTTCACGACCAGGCGAAATAGTGAAACGTTTAAAACGTGTTCGCAAAGTATACAAACTACCGCCACATTGCGACCTATCAACCCTGACAACAGAAAGTTACGATTGGGCAGTTATAATTCAAGTAAATCGAAAAGATGATAAATTTTCAGGAAAAAATCGTTCTAAAATATTACAGCGAAGTGTTACACTTAATAATTAAATTAATAAAATCAAAATATAATCATACAAGTAAGCAATAGTAAAATTACTCAACATAATATAATAATGTTAAATAATTTTTTAACTATTATGTTAACTTTTTTGGATGCTTTCATTTTCTTCCAAACAGCAAAAAGCATTCAATACAATAAATTAAGGATTATATTTTCAGAAATTTTCTTTCAGAAATTAAATCTCAGGGGATTTTACATTTTACAATTTGACAAGAATAGCTAACGTTTTAAATTCAATTCATCGTTTGCATGTTCAAATTTACGAAGAGAAAATAAAACATGCAATAAAAAATTACTTTACGGCTTATTTCTATTTTTTAGTAATAATTTTGCATGCCTATTTTTCATTAATGCAGTGAATTTATTTACAGCATTTAAATTCAATTCTGCGAAATATTTAATAAAAATATTAATAAAAAATATTTTGTTTGAATATTTCTATTAAGATATCGTCAATCTTTTCAAATCTAATAAAGAATCATTTGAATTTTATAAAATGAATGGAATAGTTTCATATATATTAGCATATGCTAGCATTCAATTAGTAGCTTACAGTTTAGCTAATAGAGATACATTTGCTGAAGAATATCATAATTCCTGTAGTGTGTTACTTAAATCATTCTTTTTAAGTTCCTTTTTTTAAGTATTCGTTTTTGTAAACTCTTTTTTTAGTAATTTTCATAATATATTGATTGTGACAATGTATTTAAGGAAAGATTTAAATTGTAATTGTGAAAATTCACAATTGAATTGCTATATTTTATGATTGTTCCGAAAAAAATACTTTTAGTTGTTTCCAATCATTGTTTTTTTTTGTTCCGTTTTTGAAATTTAAAATTTACCAATTTATAACAAACATTGTTGTTTTGAAAAGATTTCATGGCTTGGTTATTTGGCAAAAAAATATGCTCATAGGCTTGAAAGCTTTTTAAAAAAATCATTTGAATGGGAAGAAATTAGTTTAAATGGTAAAAAGAAGAGACAGAAGTGGAAAAAAAGGGATTTTTCCTTAATGTTTCAAGTGAGCTTTGCAATTCTTTGATTGAAAATGGAAATTTAATGAGTAGCAGAAAATTAAAATTTAAAAGATCGCCATTTGATACGATATCTGTTTGTTGTACCATGCAGTAAGTTCTTAAATAATGAATTAAATGTTGATTGTGTTCATTTAGACAAAAATACGAATCTCAAGATTGAATTTAATTAAATTGATAAACAAGTAAATTATTTTTTTAATCATGCATGTATATTGAGCAATAATATTTTATAATGATGAAAATGATCACTTTCTACATCAATACATCAACTTTTTTTGATAAATTTATATGGAAGGATTGAAATGACACGAATAATTATCATATTTTTCAAAATTCATCGAATTTTTTTCATAATAATTTTAATACAATGAAATAATTGCGATTTTCTCAATCTTTTGAATAACACGTGTGATAATGATAATATATCTATTACCACTTGACGCTAAATCATTAACTTATCGTACCATTGATTATTTTCCGCTGAGGAATTTATTAAATGAATGAATCAGTCTTTGAGGTAATGATACCAATATGCAATATTAAATACACTGAATAGCGTGGGAAACAGTATTGCTGATAGCTTATCAATATATTGTGTTGCTTGTTCCTGAAAAACGAAAAAAAATAATACCTGAAAATTTCCGAAAAAAAATTATCAATATATTATCCGATTTCGATTACTCTGTGTTACCTGTTACTCTATCTGTAAAACAGCATGTTTACAAGTAAGAGCTAACATGGATATATGTGGTAGTGTTGCCAGGTCATTTGTCATACTGCTTATTGTTTCTAATGAGGTTAGAAATAGGCTTATCATGACATTATCAATATCACATTCATTACTAATTTAATTTAAAATTATCTTAGCTGAATTGATTACTATAAAATCATTTAGAATTTCAAATAGTACAATTTTGACTAATAGAAAAAATTACAGAACAAATTCACGTTAAAAATGTGAAATTAAATAAAATGAGGAAAAATTGTATATACAATATCGATCGTAAAGATTTTTTGTAAATTTTTTGAAAAATCAAATAAACAAATTTTAAAACACGATGTACCCTTTGTTTGATGAGTGTGGCAGGATCGTACAACGATGTAGGAATTGGTGAATAGGATTTTGTATTTTGCATTGGCTGTTGTTGTTGTAAACAACCACATGGACCAGCTATTGAAGCCATTGTTGCTCTTAAATGATCATTGAGACCGTAACCGGGTGGTATGTAACCGTAATCATTACCACGTGCAAGACATATCAATGCATTCTCTTCCTCAATTCCTGTTCTTCGTCTGTAAAAATATGTCATTTTACGTGAATTAACTAATTAAAATTTCACTCATTAATCCACATTAATTAGTTCAATTTAAATTTAAAACAAAAAATTAGAAAATATCATATAAAAAAGATCTTAAAATATACACATATATGAAATTTATTATTTAATAAAATAAAATATGCAATAATGGAAAAATTCTAACCTAGGAATTAGAGAATTAGTTTCATAACGGTCTTGATGAGCTAATTTGAAACTGTCATCATCCGGTTGTACTGTTGGTGATATTTTTGTTATTACCGATTTTGGTACATCCAATTCTTCCCTGCTCAAATATCCAACCCAGGCAAGTTCTAACAGTGAACAGAAGACGAAAGTCATACAACTTAACATCCAAACATCTATTGCCTTAACAAAAAAAGAGCTTTAATTATTTATTCCATTCAAAGAATTAATTGAAAAGTGCAATTTGTTTTATCATCGAAGTGATATCAGAAATGACAAACCTTGACATAGCTAACCCGTGGTAAATTTCTTATAATATTGCCAAATTGAAAAGTCATTGCAAGAAGTGAATTAACGCCTAACATTGTTCGAGCTGGTATTGCTTTAGAGCCAAGTGCAAATGAAATCCATGCTAAAAGAGAAAGAAAAACAATCAATGAACGACTGAGTTAGTTAAATGAAATTTGAATTGAATTAATTAAATGAAATTTGAGGGAAAAAAGTGTCAATTTTCTAATAGGTTTGTTTCTTTTTCTGAAAAAATTATGCAACATTTTTTCCATAATATTTAATGATTATTTAATAATAATACTGTGATAATTGTGGTATTTTTGATAAGAGAAAAATTTTTCAAAGAAAAAAAATTTAATGATTTTGAAATATTAAATTAGCCACAAGTTTAACTTACATATACAAATAGTAAGGTAAGTTGGCAGATAAGCTTGTAGAATGTACCATCCAGCGCGTCTTTTAAAATGAAATATCATTGTTAATTCATGCCAAAAACCAGCGGGATAAGGCTGAAGAAATTTTTTACAAAGAACGAATGTCAGAGAAAAAAAAGAAATTCATTTTAATCGATTTCATTTTTTAGTAACAAATTTAGCATTCTTTTAACTTTGTTTAGGTGTTTTAGGTGCTTGTTTAGATGCTTTAGAGAAGGAACAGATTGAACAAAGTTAAAATCTGTTCCTTCTCTAAAGCACCTAAATTTGTTTCATTTTTTATTTTCATCTATTTATTTAGTTTCTTGAATGTAAATATTTAATTATTCTAAAGCGTAAAAAAACTAGAAGCGAATGATTAATTTATCAATTTTGATAAATGATTAATTTATCAATTGAACGATTGATGATAAAATATGCAAAAGAGACCTCGGTCTTCCTGAAATTCTCAATACCGGTCAGTTCATAATCAGCAAGTTCCATTTTTTCACGCATTTTCGAAACACCGAGTGGTGACCAAACCATTTCAACTTCATCCGTATTATAGCTAAAATAAATGAAAAATAAAAGCTTACAAATACAATTTTATGAAATTCTTCAAACATTAAAGCTATTTAATTTGGGAGAAAGAGAAATGAAAGAATAATGCATTATCTTATCTCTAAGATTGAATCGAAGATAAAAAAATTCTGAAAATCGAAAAATCATTCTACCAATTCAGCAATTCAAATGAATTATACAACTAGTAAATCTTATGTTTAAAAAAAAGTGGAGTTTATTTTAAAAAACTGTTATTCTAACAAATGATTAATAATACATCAAAATTTGATCGTTCCTGATTTAATCAGAAATAAATTTAAATTTTAACTCTATAAAATGATAAAATTTGCTTCGTTCGTTTTGTTTTTCAACATCTATTTTTCATTTTTCTTTCAAGCAATTTCGCAGCGAACTAATAATGCTAATTCGTCTTAATGATCATTTAAGACTCTGCTTGAATGGATAGCTAATTTTAACTTGAAAATTTTTGAAAAATGCAAGTTGAAAATCGAGCAAACATAGAATAACTGTCTATAATATGCGTGCTTAAAAAGTTTTCAGTTTAAATAACTAACTTAAAGCTTTCAAAAGTAAGCGAGCATGTAACATTGTCGAATGGAAATCTCGTTAAATCCATTATGCATGGTCCTGAAATTGACATTTTTTCTTTCATATTTGATAAATTTCATTTCTTTTTTTATTTTCCATCATGTCTACTGCATATTTACACTAATGTTTGATATTTTAAAAGAATCTTTCAAAAAAAAAAAATTTTTTTAAAGAATCAAAATTTCGTTATTAGTTTTTTGTATCGTATAAACTTAGAACTTTACAAACCATTTTTTATTATTCTTATCTATGATTTCAACCAAGCCAAGCGCAAAATTTAGAACAAAATAGTTCCCCTCAAGTCATATTATTGAAATTTAAAATTTGAATTGCGATGTTGTTTTTTTTTCATATTTATAGCTCAAAATTTATAATATTTCAGCTCAAAAATTTTCAAAAGCCCTTTTTTCTTCTCAAAAAAGAAAGAACATATCTAGTAAGCTTTGTTGCGTATTTTCCGCTAAATTTATTGATATACGATTTGTTTAGCTTACAGCTTTCTCAAAGATATTATATCAATTTTTGATGATTTCAGTGTAAAATTCTCAAAAAATATTCGGATATATATATTAAGACATGGATATATAATTTCTAATGGTTTGCATAAATAAATAAATGAGTAAACAAATAGACAAGTAAACAAATAGACAAGTAAACAAATA